CAGGGGTGCAGAAGGAGGAAGAGAAATAGTAACAACATGTAGTTATTTAAGCTGCTTAGCTTGTTTTGAGATTATTTCTTGTAATGATGCAAATCTACTTATTGACTCTTTTTGAAGCTTCAACATACCAATCTTAAAAAGTTTCCCACTGAATTTGTTTTAATTTGAGACCTTTCCATTCCAATTTCCTGCAGAAAGAGTTTAACTTACTTAATTCAAAACTGCCCCGTAAAGGCCATTGAACTTCCAAACTGTCTGTAGTAATTGAATGCTGACATTTATAGAATAAAACTGAGCTAAGAGTATAATATTTAAATATGAAAGCAGCTGGAGTTCTGGAAGGAGGACCAGCTACATCTTTAGAGGTGGTATTTCCCATGTTTTACCAGTAGATTGCATGTATGTTTTTACAATATGCAATTTTATCCTATTGTGTATGTACTTCTGCTTTTTTCTGGTTAAGAGCACAACTTATCCTGTTTTAAACCAGACATGTTTTTTTTTCTCTTCTTCTTTTTGAGAAGATTTCAAGAAATTAAAAAACACTGCTTGTAACTCAAACTTAGATTGCACAAAAAAAGTTCAAGAACAAGAACAGTGACTTCCAATTTCTCCAACCTGTCTCTTAAAGGTGGACTCCCTCTCACAGAGTCCTGTTATCTTGAAAGGTGGACTCTCTCACACAGAATCCTCTTGTTTTAATTGGGACAAAAGATTTTTGCCCTCAAAAAAAATTTAGAACTCAGTTTCTCTTCTTGGTGTCCTGGTAAAGGTTTTTTTGCTACCCTTAGGCATGAATCTCTTATCGGAGAAATTTTAACCAGCAAAACTACAGCCTGATGCTACACATCTGCCTTTATGCTTCCCTTATCAACAGAGAAACCTGAAAATAAAATAGACTAAGATCTTTAAACAGGAAACTCAAGAGACAACAAAAAGAAAAGCTTTCAAAAAAATCCTCAAAAGAGCCACATGAAGCTTCATTTTGAGAGGACTCACCTTGGCCTCCTCTGAAGACCTATGAAAAATTTGATGGGATGCAATGGATTCAAGCCAGCACCTGGCTTCCAAATCCATGATACCTCAGGGGTCTGCTGAGTGGGCTCCTTTAAAATCTTATCCTTATTGCCAATTTGTGTCTATGTCAAAGTAGCTTAACTGATGTCATGGATTGAATTGTGTCCCCCAAAAATATCTGTCAACTTGATTAGGCCATGGTTTCCAGTATTATGTTGTTGTCCTCCATTTTGTGCTTGTAATTTTCCTATTTGTTGTAAGTCCTGATCCCTGCCTGTTGTTAATGAGGCAAGATTGGATTATGTTGAAGAGGATTAGAGGGGGTTCTAACACCCTTGCTCAGGTCATATCCCTGATCCAACGTAAAGGGAGTTTCCCTGGGGTGTGGCCTGCACCACCTTTTATCTTACAAGAGATAAAAGGAGAGGGAAGGAAGCAGAGAGGGGGGACTTCATGCCACCAAGAAAGCAGTGCCGGGAGCAGAGTGCGTCCTTGGTACCTGAAGTCCCTGCACTGAAATGCTCCTAGAGCAGGGGAAGATTGATGACAAGGACCTTCCTCCAGAGCTGACAGAGAGAGAAAGCTTTTCCCTGGAGCTGACACCCTGAATTTGGACTTGTAACCTACTAGACTATGAGAGAATAAATTTTTCTTTGTTAAAGCCATCTACTTGTGGTATTTCTGTTAGAGCAGTATTAGATGACTAAGACAACTGATAAATAAGTAATCTGTAAAATAAATGATTTTAGAGGTTTTACTGAAGCACGCAACACACAATTTCTAAATTGGAGAAGTACCAAACCCACAGAGTGAAAACAAGTCTCACAAGTGAAATCAGTGTTTGGAGGAATGGGGGATAGTATCAAGAAATTATACATTCAAAAAAGGAACTAAATCATGGGGAGGGCAGTTGTGGTGAAATCAATGAATATTGTAATGATCACACTTTGGATAAACATCACACAGTTACAGTAAATGTTGTGGTAAAACTCACACATATTATAATAAATTTATAAATAGCTTGAGACTGATGGATCTAACCAACTACCACATCAGAAAACCCATCACCTTAGACTGAAGGAGGCAGAGTGAAAGGAAAGAACACTTTCTACCTGTTGGAATTCTACAGGCAGGAAACAGGCCAAAGGATCTATATCTGTTGTCCTCTAAGGAAAGAAAAGAACCTTCCCAGGAGCAGCTCAGAGATCAGAACTGTTGGAAGGAGCACAGTGAGAACTGCCTTGATCTCAAAGGGTGGGCCATGGAGTCTAAAAGAATGGGGCCATGGCCTCTGGGGTGTCAAAGGGTAGAGTCAAATCTTCACCAACTCAGTTTCAAAGCATGGGGCTACCATTCGGTTTGGCCAAGAGGATGAACCTAAAGCTGAGGGGGCAGGGCTGCCATGCTCAAGGGACAGAAGAAGGAGGCCTGTCAGGGTGAGGGTCGTGGTCACCACTGAGATGGACTAGGAGGATGGGGCCACCCAAATCCGAGGGAGTAGAGTTGCCATCCCAGTAGACCTGAAAGGCTCAGCTGAAGCCTAGGGCTCAGGGATCTCCACCCAGAATCCAGAGAGCATGGCCAACATCCAGAGTCTGGATGGCAGGGCCATTGCCTAGATGTTCTCAGAGAACAGAGAGTTATTTTCAAAACTTAAGAGCTAATATAATTTACTCCGCTGGGTTTTGGACTTGCTTGATGCCCATTATCCCTTCTTTCCCTCCAATTTTTCCCATTTGTGGTGGAAATGTCTACCTTATGCATGCTTCACCATTGTACTTTGGAATCAGATAACTTGTAATCTAGATGTCACAGGTTCACCGGTGAAGAAGTATTTTGCCTCAGGATGGAATATGCCTAAAGTCTTTCCAGTGTTTGATTTAGATGATTTGGAAGATGAGATTTTGGACTTAGAACTGATTGAAGATTTTGGAATGATATAATGGGGTGAATGTGTTTTGCATCTGGGGAGGATATGAATTTTAGGGAGCCAAACAAAGGATGGAATGTTATGGATTGAATTATGTCCCCCCCAAAATATGTGTTATAAATCCTAACCTCTACGCCTGTGGTTATAAACCCATTTGGGAATGGGTTGTCTTTGTTATGTTAATGACATAGGTTAATGTAGGATGTGTCTTGATTCAGTCTCTTTAGAGATATAAAAGAGATCAAACAAGCAAGGAAGAGAAGCAGAGTTGGGGAAGTCATGCAAAGCCAAATGAACATCGCCCAGGAGCAGATACTCAGAGACAAGGAACTTCCTCTAGAGTAGACAGAAAGCCTCCCACTAGAGCCAGCACCCTAAATTTGGACTTCTAGCCTCCTAAAGTGTGAGAAAATAAATTTCTGTTTGTTAAAGCCGCTCACTTGTGGTATTTCTGTTATAGCATCACTAGACAACTAAGACAAACACCATCAACTATCTTCACCTAATTGACATTCTTTGAATACTCCACCCAACAATAACATAAGGTACATTCTTTCTAAGTGCTCATTAAACATTCAGCAAGATAGACCGTATGGTGTGTTATAATACAAACTTTAATATAAGAATAAAATGAATGAATAAGTGAATACGAAAAATGGTTATATATCCATCCATTGGAATAAAACATGGCAGAAAAAAATAACAAATCACTGCTAAGTGCAGCAACATAGATAAAATCTGACAGATACTATGCTGACCAGATGAAGTCAGACACAATACACGTCTTACAGTATGATTCTCATTGTATGAAGTCCGAGAATGGGCAAACCGTATCTCTGGCAGTAACAGAGTACTGGTTACCCCTACCGTGAATATCAACCGGGAAAAGCGCAGGAGGAAAGCTTGTGTGTTGGAAAATTTCTCTAACATGATCTCAGAGGAGGTTACATGAGTGTATATCCAGATGTAAAAGTTCATTACATTCAACACTTAACACGTTATGCATTTTATTACACGTGTATATATGAGACAAACGTAAAAACTGTTTATAATGGTCATTTTCAAAGGTTCTTGACCTTTTACCTACTGGCCCTGAGAACGACTGATACCTTTCTGCCTCTCACCCTGGAAAACTACTGTCTCCAGAGTCCTCAGCAGTTGGAGAGGTCAGACTGGGTGTGCACAGGCTGTGCCCTGCTCCTAGGGAAAGATACCTAAAACCCAAGAGATGACAAACCATGAAACAGAAGCCAGACTAGGGTCTTCAACAGTTCTAAAGATGGGCAAATATCTATGAGGAGTAACGAAATTAATTCTCTAAAGAACATGGTAAAATTTTTTCAAATGGCCAAATATGCAAACACTAACTTCCTCTGCTCCCGAAGATATCTTTGATTACTGAAATTCGCATTTCAGTACATATACACATTTAAGAAAACCCAGGCGTTTCTCTATAGAGGAAATAAACCGTGGGCAAATCCCAAACATCAGGGGGAACTACTGAACCCCACGGTCCCTAGTTGGAGGGCTCTGGGTTCCCGAACGGAAGCCCTCCCCTGAGCACCGAGTGACTCCTAAACCGGAAGCGGAAGCGAGCGTCCTTGTCCTCGGTTTGGAACCTCGGTCGTGCCTCTCCTACTGAGGTGTGAGGTCGGTGTGGCCCTGTTGCCGGTTGGCCCGCTCCGCTAGCGGGTGACCCGCAGCTCCTGTCCCGGGTCTGAGGGCGCTGCGCCCGCTCCGCGCGCACTCCTGGTCTCTCCGCTCCCGGAGCCTCGGGACTCCCTGTAGCCGGGGAGCCGCCGCCGCTTGGCGGCTTCTGCGCCCCCGGCCCCGCGGCCGCAGCTGCTTCCTGGAGGCCGCGGAAGTGGGACCTGTGTCTCTCGGTGCGTTCACAGGTGAGGTCGTGGGAACCCTCGCCGCGCACACGCGTGTTTCTCGGGGCAGCGGCGTCAGCGGCACAGGGAGCGCGTGGGAAATGCAGGGTCCCGGGCCTTACGGGCGCCGGGGTCGCTCGCCTGCCTCTCAGTGCCCTGCCCCCACCTCCCGCCCGCCGCCCCCGCGCCGTTTTGTCGTCTTTTCTTTACAAGCCAGCCTCAGCCAGACTTTCCGGGCTCTTGTTAAGATGCGGATTTTGATTCAGCAATTCGGAGGTGGGGTTTGAAAGTCTACATGCTGAACAGGCTGCTAGTTGATGTTGGAGATAATAAGTCTGTAAATAAGAATGTGAATTAAAATTAGAGAGTGCTCCTAGAGAAGAGGATAGAAGGAAGGATAATCCTTAAAGGGGAGACACCGCTGTAAAGATGACGCGCGAGAGAGAACATTGACCTGAGGCCAAGAAATGGAAGACTAGGAGACAGCTTGGAGGGGAGCAGGGCGGAAAGAAATGGGAACACCGGGGGGAGATGCTCCTCAGAGAAAACCTCATGATTTCCTGATTTATTTGTTGATCGATTTATTAGAAGGTTGAAAGCACAAAGGTGTTCAGGAATCCTCCCAGATCTCTCAACAGCTTAGGGATTGGTGCTGTCATGGTTTGAGAACGAAGGAAAAAGAAAAAACTCAAGAGAAAGAAAGAAATATTAATTGTAAAAGTAATAGTAAAAATATTTATCTCATACTACAGTGGTATAAATGCAATGAAAAATTGTTTATAAAGCACAAGAACCCCCGCGGATACCTAAATCTGTGGGTGCTCAAGTGCCTTATATAAAATGGTGTATTTCCATATAACTTATACCCACCCTAGCATATACTTTAAATCCTTTCCTGATTATTTGTAATACTTAATACAACGAACAGGTTATGTAGATAGTTGTTATTTCATATTGCTTAGGAAATAAAGACAAGACAGGGCAACAATGCTCAGACGGGTAGTGCTGGAGTGAGACTGAGGATCTGTGACATGGTAGGAGGATACAGCAGGGTGTGCCTACACGTCACTTCCTGCCTGTGGATTCAGCTTAGTGCTAAGCATGCTGCACATTCAAGTTCTGGTGTTTGGAATTTTTTTCCTCAGTTATTTCCGATCCACAGTTGGTTCAGTGCACGGATATGGAACCCGCAGATACTTAGGGCCAGCTGTAGAATGAAAAAATTGTTGAAACAGCATATTAAAATGGTTATTACTGCACATAATTAAAAATGAATGAACCATGATGAGTTCGTTGACAAAAGTTGAAAAATATGTTACTTATAATTTGAAAAAACCAGAAAACCAAACCTGTTGCCATCGAGTCCATTCCAACTCCTAGCGACCCTATAGGACAGAGTAGAACTGCCCCAGAGGGTTTCCAGGGAGCTCCTGGTAGATTTGAACTGCCGACCTTCTGGTTAGCAGCCATAACTCTTAACCACTACGCCACCAGGGTTTCCCCAGATAGTTTACCCATGTTAGTATCAAATAACAGTGTGTGTGTTGATGTATAAGAGACAAAGTTACACAGGTGAACCCACAACTTCAACGCTGGACCCCTGACTCCCTGGAGGAAATCAGGTTCAAGTTTTGCAGCCTGGCCAGGCCTGGTTGCTTCCCATGCTCTGGGATAAGTAAATTCCTCCGTCTGTGATCTTGCTGGCAGAAAGAAGAGGCCCATGGAGCCGCATGAAGAATGCAGGTGTGTGCTCTGGAGGCTGGAGCCTGTTCTGCCTTCAGTGCAAATGCTCTCAGGGTGGAGCGTGGCCCTGAGCCTGGGAGGAGGCCAGAGACCTGTCACTCCCTGCTTCCTCAACACTTTCCTCCCCATCCTTCTTCCATTTCAGGTCTCAGGTGTGGTGCAGGGAGAACTAGGCCAGTCCAGGCAGCTGGGGACCTAGGGTGACCATCTTGCACATCCGTAAATCACAGGGAAGGATTTCAGCTGCTCAGACTAGTGTGTGGACCAAACATTATTCATCTGCCTCCAAACTGCCCAGTGCTCTGCTTCCACTCCCGTCCCTCTTCCTGACGTGGCTTCATGGGCTCAGAGACGACATTCCCTTAGACTTCCAGAAGCTGGAGAAGGAAATGGTGAGTTCTACGGAGAACTGGGTTATCCTTAAGTGCGTGAGGCTGGGTATGAATTGTTGGGGCAGGAGCTATGTGCTGCGGGAATGGGGTTCTTCAGTGAAAAAGAAAGGTGGCAGAGGAGGCCAGGGGTCAGAGCCCTAGGAGGCACCTTGAGGCCCTGCTCCACTGTCAGTTGGCCTTTCCTGTATACATATGTGGCTTTTCAGGGTTTGGATGCCTGGGTCACCTTCCTTACGTGACTCTCAGAGCTGGCACCATGGGGCGTTAACGTCCCCACCCTGGGCCTTGGTGCTCTGTGTTGAATGACAGAGTCTCCTGACAAGAGCCTGAAGACACAGCAGCTCTGGCTGTGGAGGCTGAGCCCCGCCCTCCAGAGCCATCCCTGTCCCATCTCGCTGAGCAGTGTTCTTGACCCTCCCCAGGCACTGGAGCATTTTCTGTGTGGTTCTAAAACTGCAGCACCCGCTGTCACACTGTGTTATATTTCAGAAAATGGGGGGAGAGTTCATAGGGGAAGGTTCCACCTGTTTATGGGGTCCTGGTGGTGGAGCTCTCCCGCTGTCACAAAGGCATGAAGCTGGGGACAGTGAGTCCAGTTGGGTCCTGTGTGAGGTGTGCAGACCCATTTTTCCCCCAGTGGGGAAGGCTTTTGTCTTGAGGCTTTCAGGTGTGTGGAAAGCATGACTCCCCAGTCTAGGTCCTTAGTCTCCCACCAGTGCCTAGAGCTGGTATTTAATCCTCTAATTGATGATGTTCTTCATATTATTGAGCTAGAATCTAAACGTATTCTCTTTTGCTAGAGAAGCGTAACATATGAGATGTGTGTAGTTACATTATTGGGTTTACATTTTCCACTGAATGAAAATTTCTTAGGTTACTTACTATGTTTCTGCTAAAAAATTTTCAATTTACTTTAGCAGCAAGGGAGAATGAAGAAAACAAGATACAAGGAAAAGATTAGTGCAGAGGACTAATGGACCACAACTACCACGTCTTCCACCAGACTGAGTCCAGCACAGCTGGATGGTGCCTGGCTATCACCACCGACTGCTCTGACCAGGATCACAACAGAGGGTCCTGGACAGAGCTGGAGAAAAATGTAGAATAAAATTCTAACTCACAAAAAAAGACCAGACTTACTGGCCTGACAGAGACTGGAGAAACCCCAAGAGTACGGCCCCCGACACCCTTTTAGCTCAGTAATGAAGTCACTCCCGAGGTTCACCCTTCAGCCAAAGATTAGACAGCCCCATAAAACAAAACGAGACTAATGGGGCACAACAGTCCAGGGAGAAGGACTAGAAGACAGGAGGGGACAGGAAAGCTGGTAATAGAGAACCCAGGGTCAAGAAGGGGGAGTGTTGACATGTCGTGTGGTTGGTAACCATTGTTATAAAACAATACGTGTACTGTTTAATGAGAAACTGTTTTGTAAACCTTCACCTAAAGTGCAATAAAAAGAAAATTTTAATTTAATAGATATAAACTTCTCAAACACAGAGGAATGCCTATCTTAACTGACATAAGTATTACTCTAAAGCTTACTTAAATCTTGAGAAGGTTGTTGAAGACTCCTATTACATTTAACAGGTCATGCCAGAACTCCTAATGTGTTAAGTATTTCAGCCATTTTAGAAACGTTCTCCTGGCTGAGAGAAAATGAATGTAGAGACTCTGACATCCATGATTACTGTGTTTAGAAAAAGAGCTCTTATTTATGCTTTTGTGATCTGCACAAGTACATTATACCATTTAACGACACTTGGGTCCTAAATTTTATTCTATTATTAACATGAACTTCTAGTAAAAACACTTAATATCACATTTGACTTATGTTTAAAAGGACAGTATAGTTTGCTGAAATTATGTTTTTCCAATAGGTAAGACCTTCGAAGTTCGAAACTCAGTAGGAAATTTAAAAGTATGCTTTATGGAGACTTGTTTCTACTCTTGTCCTCATCCAGCCCACCCTCTTCTCTTGGCTTCCTGTAAATAACCAGCTTTAGTACTTTCTGAGGCATCTTGCCAGTGTTTGTGTAGAAGCAACCAAAGAGAAGTAGAAATTTTTTATTTCACCTACTTTGTTCCACAGAAGATAGCATGGAATTTACTCTCTTTTTTTATATTGTAATTTAGATGAAGGTTTACCGAGCAAGTTAGTTTCTCATTAAACAGTTAATACACAAATTGTTTTGTGACCTTGATTGCCAACTCCATGATGTGTCAACACTCTCCCCTTCTCCACCCCAGGTTCCCTGTTGCCATTCCTATAGTTTTCCTGTCCCTTCCTGTCTTCTCGTCTTCGCTTTTGCGCCGATGTGCCCGTTAGTCTCGTATGCACGATTGAACTATGAAGCACATCTCTCCTGTGTTGTTGTTGGCCCTGTAGACCTGTTTAATCTTTGCCTAAGGGTGAACTTCAGGAGTGACTTTAGTGCTGAGTTAAAAGTACTGAGAGTACTGGGGGCCATACTCTGGGGTTCTTGCAGTCTCAGTCCAGTAAGCTTGGTCTTTTTTTTATGAATTTCAATTTTCTACAATTTTTTCCCATTCTGTCTGGGATCCTCTTTTGTGATCCCTGCCAGATCAGTCAATGATGGTATCCAGGCATCATCTAGTTCTGGGTTCACGCACTTTTTGATGAACAAACTACCTTGGTTATCTTTTCATAACAGTACATGTTGTTAGGTGTTGTCGGGTCACATCCCACTCACAGTGACCCCGTGTACAACAGAATGAAACACTGCCCAGTCCTGCGCCATCCTTAAAAGGGTTGTTAATGCTTCAGCCCATTGTTGCAGCCACTATGTCAGTCCATCTAGTTGAAGATCTTCCTCTTTTTTGCTGACTCTCTATTTTACCAAGCATGATGCCCTTCTCCAGGGTCTGATCCTCCTGATAACATGTCCAAAGTATGTGAGATGAAGTACTGCCATCCTCAATTCTAAGCAGCGTTCTGGCTGTTACTTCTTCCAAGACAGATTTGTTCATTCTTTTGGAAGTCGAGGTATATTAATATTCTTTGCTAACACCATAATTCAAAGGCGTCAGTTCTTCTTCGGTTTTATTCATTGTCGAGCCTTCAGGTGCATATGAGGCGATTGAAAACACCATGGTTTGGGTCAGGCCCACCTTAGTCTTGAAGGTGATATCTTTGCTTTTTAACACTTCAAAGAGGTCTTTTGCAGCAGATTTGCCCATTGCAATGTGTCTTGATTTCTTGACCGCTGCTTCCATGGGTGTTGATTATGGATCCAAGTAAAATGAAATCTCTGACAACTTCACAATCTTTTCTCCATTTATCATGATGTTGCTTATTGGTCCAGTAGTGAGGATTTTTGTTTTCTGTATGTTAAGGTGTAATCCATACTGAAGGCTGTAGTCTTTGATCTCATCCGTAAGTGCTTCAGGTCACCTTCACTTTTAGCAAGCAAGGTTGTGTCATCTGCATAACCCAGGTTATTAATGAATCTTCCTCCAATCCAGATGCCTTGTTCTTTTTCAGATAGTCCAGCTTCTCAGGTTATTTTTTCAGCATACAGATTGAATAAGTATGGTGAAAGGACACAAACCTGACACACAGCTTTCCTGACTTTAAACCACACAGTATTCCCTTGTCCTGTTCAAACAACTGTCTCTTGATCTATATACAGGTTCCTCATGAGCACAGTTAAGTGGTTCTAGAATTCCCATTCTTCATAATGTTATCCATAATTTTTTGTGATCCACACAGTCGAATGCTTTTTTAGTCAGTAAAACACAGGTAAACATCTTGGTATTCTCTGCTTTCAGCCAGGATCCATCTGACATCAGCAATGATATCCCTCATTCCATGTCCTCTTCTGAATCTGGCTTGAGTTTCTGTCAGTTCCTTGTTGATGTACCGCTGCAGCCATTTTTGAATGATCTTCAACAAAAATTTTACTTGCGTGTGATACTAATGATATTGTTTGGTAATTTCCACATTCGGTGGGATCACCTTTCTTTAGGATAGGCATAAATATGGATCGCTTCCAGTCGATTGGCTAGGTAGTTGTCTTCCAGGTTTCCTGGCATAGACAAGTGATTACTTCCAGCGCTTCATCCGTTTGTTGAAACATCTCAGTTGATATTCCGTCCATTCCTGGAGCCTTGTTTTTTGCCAGTGCCATCAGCACAGCTTGGACCTCTTTCTTCAGTACCCTCGGTTCCTGATCATATGCTACCTCCTGAAATGGTTAAACGTCGTCCGGTTCTTTTTGGTGGCTCTGTGTATGCCTTCGATCTTCTTTTGATGTTTCTTACGTTGCTTAACATTTTCCCCGTAGAATCGTTCAGTATTGCAACCCGAGGCTTGAATTTTCTCTTCAGTTCTTTCAGCTTGAGAAATGCCAAGCATGTTTGTCATGGATTGAATTATGTCCCCCAAAAAACGTGTGTATCAGTTTGGCTGGGCCATGATTCTTGGTATCGTGTGATTTTCTTATATGTTGTAAATCCTGCCTCTTTGATGTTAATGAGGGAGGATGGGTGGCAGTCCTGTTAGTAAGGCAGGACTCAATCTACAAGATTGAATTGTGTCCTGAGGCAGTCTCTTGAGATATAGAAGAGAGAAGTGAGCAGAGAGACGGGGACCTCAAACCATTAAGAAAGCAGTGCGAGGAGCAGAGCGTGTCCTTTGGACCTGGGATCCCTGTGCGGAGAAGCTCCTAGTCCAGGGGAACACTGATGAGAAGAAGGGCGACAGAGAGAGCCTTCCCTTGGAGCTGACGCCCTGAATTTGGACTTTTAGCCTACTTTACTGTGAAGAAATAAATTTTTCATTGTTAAAACCATCCACTTGTATTTCTGTTGCAGCAGAACTAGATGACTAAGACAGAATTTGATACCGAGAGTGGGGTGCTGCTCTAACAGATATCTAAAACGTCTAAGTGGTTTTAAAACTGAATGGATAGAGAAGCGGCAGTGGCAGAGGACCAGCAACAGCGGAGAACCTGCAGTGGCGGAGAAGCGGAAGCGGC